AGTTCAGTTTTCAAAATGTTTAATCTCAGGATGCCTTTACATTCTCTTACATTAAAATTTATTAAGGTTCCCTAAGGGTTTTTATTTATATGAGCTGTACCTATCTATGGAGTTCTGGTGTGGCACTGCAGGATAAAGCACTAGAACATAAGGTCAGGTTGAACCACAAGGTCAGTGGTTCAAACTCACCACCCACTCCTTGGAAACCCTATACAGGGTTGCTATGAGTTAGAACTGACTTGAAGGCACTTAATAACAATAACAACATACCAATCTATATTTACTCTATTCAAAATTTAAACTGACAAATTAAAAAAATGTGTATTACCTGTTTTATGTGAAAGTAGCAATGATGAAGCTATTTTACATTAAAATAAATCAAATTTTTAATGTACTATTTTATAGAATTGAAAATTACTTTTATATCCAGCTGAATAGAAATCACCTGGATTCTCATTATTTGTTTTGTCATTCAATCAGAAGATATCACATACATGCTGGAAAAAGTCCATTGTATATTCATGAGAGGAGGAGAATGAAAATGGCAAATAAAGTCTTAATATTACAATTTTGATCATGTGGGCCCATAAGTGGACCCCCACGAGTACTCAGACTTTTCCTAAAGTGCCAGACTGTTAAGCCAAGATCAAGCAGAACAAGAATAGCACAGGACTGGATGAACTGAGAAGGGAAACTTTCATTTGTTTAGAGTCCTGGTGTAGTGCCGCTGTAGGCACTGGACAGCCAACCACAAGGACAGAGGTTCAAATGCACCAGATAATCCTTGGAAACCCACTATAGGATCACTGTGAGTGGATGGCCCTTCACCACCTCCGCCACCACAGTCTGTTTAGAATACTGTTGATTGATTAGTTGTAGTGCTGTATTGCTGGATGGCTCTGTTGTTGTTCTTTGTTAAGAGCCATAGCAGTCCTAACTCACAGCGACCCTATAATAGGGTTTCCAAGGAGTGGCTGGTAGGCTTGAACTGCTGACTTTGTGGCTAGTAATCAAGTGCTTATCCTACAGTGACACACCAGGACTTGCAAAATAAACCCAAGGGGTTCTATGAGGAGTTCATGGAAAAACTGAATGAAAAGATAATAAAAATTCCCCATAAATTGAATGAAGCTCACTCATATATGGTTAATTAGCATTCTTGCTGCTAACTCATCAGGCCATGCCTAATTAGAGCAGTCTTTGTTGTGATCAGTTCTAATCTCTAAGGCTAGTTTGAACATGTTTGTGTACTGTGGGGTGGTAGGTGATGGGAGAGATACTGTCAAGGAAAATTGAGATATTTTGAACTAAAAAAAAAAAAAAAAAAAGATTAGTGTGAGTCCAGTTCAGTGCATCCTTCTGGGTTTCTGGCACCTATCTGTTGCTTGAAGCTATTTTACTTCTTTGTGGGTTGTAGAAAGCTTCTTGCTGTTAAGTGTCATGGAGTTGGTTCTGACTCATAGTGATCCTATATAAGAGCAGCTGGTGGGTTTGAACTGCCAACCTTGTGGTTCATAGTTCAGTGCTTATCTTATAGCATCACACCAGAAAGCTTAGCAGTAATAAATATACTTCTTAAGTTTTAGAGGCAAAGAACAGATACTGTTTCTATTTTTAAACAGATATTATTTAAATGTGACTTTCAGTGTTTTATAAAAATGAAACTCTGACAAGATTATGTGGGGCAGGGTGTGGCAAAGGTGGGGAGAGATTTAGAGGGAAACTCCTGTGGAAAAGACATTTTCCATTAGGGTTGGCAAGAACAGCTTGTCTGTGGGTTCCACAGTAGCCAAGACCTTCTCCCCTACTCTGTTGTTGTTGGTAAGTGCTGTTGAATTACTCCTGATTCACAGAGACACAGTATAAGGTTTCTGAAGAGCGGCTGAAGGATTTGAACTGCCAACTTGTGGTTAACAGTCCAGTGCTTACCCTACAGCACCACACCAGGACTGCTTACTCCACTACTCTGCTTGGATGTGAATTATTCCAAGGAGACTGCTGCTAGGCTCTTAGACTTCAGCCTCCCCACAATCCCCAGAGTTGCTAGTTTGGGCTAAAGGACTAAAGTCCTGAGATCTAAAAGCATCACGAGGATGTTGTTGCTGTTGCTATGAATTGGTGCTGTCCAATTTGCTCCAACTCATAGCAACTTTATGCACAACTGAATGAAACACTGCCTAGTTCTGTGCCAATTTGTTTTTATTCTTGAGCCCATTGCTGCTGCCACTGTGCCAATCCATCTTGTTAGGGGTCTTCCTCTTCTCTGACCCTCCACTTTATTGAGAATAATGTCCTTTTCCAGGGACTTGTCCCTCCTGATAACATGTCCGAGGCATGTGTAAGAAATACCTAGTGTGGAGTCCTGATCAGATGGTTTCCCTGATATTTTGGTACCAGTTAAGACTCTCCTAGTTCATTGGCAGGAGTCCTGGTGTGGCACTGTTAGATCAGCACTAGACTGCTAATCACAAGGTTGGTGGTTCAAGCCCACCAGCCATTCCTTGGAAACCTATACAGGGTTGCTGAGTCAGAACTGACTTGATAGCACATAACAATAACAACAGCAAGTTTGTTGGTATAATTCTTAGAGGGGAGAAGTCCAGCTCAAATGATATTTCCCATAAGCCCTTTAGCATAGGTGCTCAAAATAGGATTTAAGCTGATGACAAGAATTGAATCAAATAAACAAATTTTTTGCATACCAGAGTTTTTGCACTTAAGATTTACACTTGCTATGTAATGCTTCTGGATCTTTCCTTGACCTCCCTGTCTTCTCAGTGACTGGTTTACAGCCTCAGCCACTGAGAAATGGAAGATATTTCATTTTTTTGTACTCTTCTTTCTGGTTTTCAGGTATACTAAAATTCTTTCTGGGAGTAGAATTTACACATCAACAGGAGTTTGCTACATTTATGAGTTATCTCTTTCTTCCTGGCCTCTCTCTCCCACTGAAGGAGGTAGAAAGGATAATTATTACCTCCTATTTTGTGATACACAGTTCCTAAAATCTCTTTTCTAGAAAATTAAAAGCTTAATGAAAGAACTTTATCACACACATAGTAAAGTTAATAAAAACAATATTCTTTACTTATTTATTTGCGAGCAAATCTCCAGGATAACTGACATGTTTATTAGCATGGATAATGAAGGCTGAGAAGTGCTCCGCTGCTAGCACAGCCAAGTCACAACTGCCAAGTCTGTTTGCTACACGTTTGCTGCCTCTTGAGAAGTACTGGAAAAGACAATCTTTACACCTTCCAAATCCACATCCTCAATTACGATAATTAGGAACCAAGATAAATTAGACATGAAACCAAGATAAATTTGGACATGTTAGAAATAACACATTTAACACTTCAAAACCCCTAACATCAGCTGTTGCTTTTGTGATATTAAGAGTCCCACAGTGTGATGGGAATGGAAACAGACATGTTGCAAATCTCTACTGTTCTCTTACAGGGAAGACCTCAGCCCTTTGCCACTGTAATCTCAGAAGCCACCTTGCAGCAGACTGCTCCACCCAGGCCTAAAAACTTCTTGGAAGCTATGAGGAAGACTAATTTAGTAATCTGCCAATTAGTAAGGACAACTACCACCCACAATTACACACCTTCTTTCTGGATGTAATTTGAGCCAGGAAGTGTGGACTGAGATTCCCTCTTTTTCTTCTATGATTTTTAGCATCTACAGTGCTATTCTCAATCATTCTAAAACTAAAGGTTGTGAATGGAAGGCATGTATTCTTTGTTCATACTACTGAATTCTGATATTTGCTTTCAGAGCCAAATAGAATTCCCTGTACAAAAAGTCAGATTCTAAATTGAGGCAGTTTTACAGCTAGAGAGGACGGGACAAAGAACAATCATATGCATAAAATCTGGCTTAAAATAAATCAAGCTCTTAGAAAATATGAATTTTAGTAAAAACTGTTATTATGATAATATTGTTAGATTTTTTTCAGCATAGTCATTAATGTGACATTATCAGTTGGCAAAACATTTTATGGTCTGAACTATTTTTGAGCCAAAACGTAAGGCTGTTCATAGTAGTGAAGAATATTTTGTTTTTATTACTTATTATTCAATTAATCCAATAACACATTTCATTTCTTTGTTGTTGTTAAGTGCTGCTGAATTGGTTCTGACTCAGAGAAACCCTTATAGGGTTTCCAAGGAGCAGCTGGTGAGTTTGAACTGCCAGCCTTGAAGTTTAAACCAATTTTCTTGTCGAGTACTCAGCCTACAGAGTTTATCCTACAGCATCAGCCTAGGAACCCAACACATTTCATTAAGACACATAAACTTCATGATTCTGAGATTTAAAAACAGGATTTTTATAACACATGTTGTTGTTGTTAAGTGCCATCGAGTCAGTTCCGACCCATAGCGACCCTGTATAGGGTCTCCAAGGAGCAGCTGGTGAGCTTGAACTGCCAACCTTGCAGCTCAAACGGGTATGCAATCTGGCCCATTAACCCACAGCGCCATACCAGGACTCCATTATAAGGCATAGTCCTATAAAATTTTTAATATATATCAATATATGCATTTTGTTTTCATTAATTTTTTCTTCTTCTTCTTTTTGTCCAGAGGGGCAAATGAAATGTCTAAAATTTGTTTCTTTCCTGAAGCATAGCAAAGGGTTCTTGGTAGGGCTTGAAATATGGCAGAAGAGTTGGTCTCCCTAAGGGGTGTTGTTTAATTTTAAGACAATGGAATGCTCTTGGAGGTAAATATCTAGTATTTACCTCCAAGAGAAGTCCAGTGTAGTAAACTCAACTCACAAACAAACCAGATGTCTCCAGAGGAACAATAAAACTATTCTGCAAGTTGTGGGATTCTCTGTACTACTCTGTGACCTACCCATAGTGCATCCCAATTAGGGTACCCAGGAATGTTGGGAGCCCCATGGATTTCTGCTTTGTGGGGGCCTAATTATGGATACCACATGTCTGCCACATGATAGTTACAGACATTCAGGTGGACTCCATTGTCTCATACCTTTTCCCCCATGGATACACCCCCTGATGTGATGATGACGTCAGCACGACTGATACCCTCATTCAAGGCATTGAGCAAGTCATCTGGGCTGGAAAAAAAAAAAAAAAAAAGGATAAATACATTAACACACAGGTGAGGTTTCAGATACAGTGCCAACTTAAAGCAAAACCACCTTATTCACCAAGTGGGTGTCAACATGAGTATAGCACTAGATTCTGTATGAAGCAGAAATCCAAAGAGGCCCTGACCAGCAGGAACATAACTCTTATTGTGAAGAAAACCAAAGAACCAAACCCACTGCCACTGAGTTTGATCCCGACTCACAGTGAGAACATAAATCTTTACGGGATCAGCCTCATCTTTCTTTTATGGAGCAGCTGGTGATTTTGAATTGCCGGCCATTTGGTTAACAGCCCAGAGCCTAACTCTCAGTGCTGTCATGGCTCCTAGTTGTGAAGAAAGCACCACATAACTGCTGAAAGAGTGGCTACTGGAGCTTTCTTTTCATGGGGCTTTTGATCTAACAGGGCCAGGGCAGAGTAATGAGGAAACCCCGTGAGTTGTTTGTAGGGGGTCCAAGCAACCAGGTTGCCTGGCAGTGTCTGGGTTTTAGTATTGAGAGTCACATATGCTAGTAAGTTCTGGGCAAATTATGGCAGTTGCTGACTCTACATATTGGCGAGATGACAGGGGGATCTTTAAAGGCCTGAGAGAAATGACTGGATTTTGGCAGGTGGAAGGGAAGGGAGAACACTTTTTCAGCAAGAAGATCTGCAGTAGCTCAGGGTTGGAATGGTGACTGAGCCTGTGGTCTTTCTGGAACATGCCCTGTCTAGAGTGGTAGAGCAGACTGGGGATGACTGGGATTGGCAGGGTTGGCACACTTTTGGCAGGCCCTCAAGCTCCAGAATTTGAACTTGGTGTAACAGAAAATGAGGTGGGGGACACAGAAATATAAAAAGGCAGTTACGTGCTTACTGGGAAAATAAAGAGTAGATAAAGAAAGAGCAAGTATAACCCAGCTTCTTAGATTATTTGCTTAGCATACAGCTTGAATAAGTATGGTGAAAGAATACAACCTTGTCGCAAATCATGCTTAATTTTAAACCATTCAGTGTTCCCATGATCTGTTCGAACAACTGCCTCTTGGTCCAGGTACACATTCCTCATGAGCACAATTAAGTGCTCTGGCATACTCATACTTCACAATATAGTCCATAGCTTGTCATGATCCAAAAAATAAAAAGCCTTTGCGTAGTCAATAAAGCACAAGTAAATATCCTTCTGATATGCTCTGCTTTCAGTCAAGATCCATCGGACATCAGCAATAATATCTGTCATTCCACGGCCTCTTCTGAATCCAGCTTGAAGTTCTGTAAGTTCTCGGTCAAAGTATGATTGTAGTCATTTCTGTATTACCTTTAGTAAAACTTTACTCTCATGGGATATCAAAGAGATTGTCCGATGATTTCGACTTTCCGTTGGGTCACCTCTCTTTGGAATGGGCACAAATATGGATCTCTACCAACAGAGCATGGGAACACTGAATGTTTTAAAATTAAGAAAGGTGTGCGACAAGGTTGTATTCTTTCACCATACTTATTCAACCTGTATGCTGAGCAAATAATATGAGAAGCTGGCTTCTATGAAGAAAAACATGGCTTCAGGATTGGAGGAAGACTCATTAACAACCTGCGATATGCAGATGTTACAACCTTACTTGCTGAATGTGAAGAGGACTTAAAACATTTACTGATGAAGATCAAAGAGCACACAGCCTTCGGTATAGATTACATCTCAATGTCAAGAAAACAAAAATCCTCACCACTGGACCAATAAGCAACGTTCTTATCAACAGAGAAAAGATTGAAGTTGTCAAGGACTTCATTCTTCTTGGATCAACTATCAACACTCACGGAAGCAGCAGTCAAGAGATCAGACGACGTATTGCATTAGGCAAATCTGCTGCACAGGAACTTTTTTAAGTGTTGAAGAGCAAAGATGACAGCTTGAGGACTAAGGTGCGCCTGACCCAAGCCACGGTATTTTCAATAACCACATATGGATGCGAATGCTGGACAGTGAATAAAGACGATCGTGGAAGAATTGATGCCTTTGAATTATGGTGTTGGAGGAAAATGCTAAAAGTGCCATAGGCTGCCAAAAGAACCAATAGATCGGTTTTGGAAGAAGCGCAGCCAGAGTGCTCCTTAGATGCCAAGATGACCAAACTTCGTCTCTCATACTTTGGACATATTGTCAGGAGGGAACAGTCGCTGGAGAAGGATATCATGCTTGGTAAGATGGAGGGTCAGAGAAAAAGAAGAAGACCCTCAACTAGACGGATTGGCCAGGTGGCATCATTGATGGACTCAAGTGTGGCAGTGGCAGTGAGGTTGGCCCAGGATCGGACATTGTTTCGTTCTGCTGTGCATGGGGTTGCTATGAGTCGGTTCCAACTCGATGGCACCTAACAACAACAACAAACCAATCAGTCGGCCAGATAGTTGTCTTCCAAATTTCTTGGCAGAGATGAGTGAATGCCTCCTGTGCTGCCTCACTTTCTTGAAAATTTCAAATTTTATTCTATCAATTTCTGGTGCCTTGCTCTTTGTCAATTCCTTCAATACACCTTGGACTTCCTCTTTCAGTATCATTGGCTCTTGATCATATGCTACCTCTTGAAATAGCTGAACATTAACCATTTCCTTTTGGTACAGTGACTCTGTGTATGCCTTCCATCTTCTCTTGAGGTTTCCTGCATCATTCAATAATTTGCCCATGGAATCTTTCAATAACGAAAGTCGAGGCTTGAATTTTTTCTTCAGGTCCCTCAGCTTGAGAAATGCTGAGTGTGTTCTTCCTTTTTGGTTTTCTGATTCCAGATCTTTGCACATTTTGTTGTAATATTTGGATTTAACTTCTCAAGCTGATCTTTGAAATTTTCTGTCAGCTCTTGGACCTCTTTATTTCTTCCATTTGCTTTAGCATCTCTACGCTGGAGAGCAAGTTTCAGTGTCTCTTCTGACATCCATTTTGACCTTTTCCTTATTTCTTGTCTTCTTAATGACTTTTTGTTTTCTTCATGTATGATGTTCTTGATGTCCTCACACAATTCTTCTGGTCTTCGGTCTTTAATGTTTAATGTATCAAATCTGTTCTTCAGATGATCTCTAAATTCAGGTGGGATATACTCAAGGTCATATTTTGGCACCCGTGGACTTGTTTTCATGTTCTTCAGCTTCAGGTTGAATTTGCATATGAGTAATTGCTGGTCTGTTTCACAGTCTGCCCCTGGCCTTGTTTTGACTGATGATACAGAGCTTTTCCATTGTCTCTTTCTGCAGATGGCAGATGTATTCAATTTGATTTCTATGTGTTCCATCTGGTGAGATCTATGTGTATAGTTGTCTCTTATGCTGTTGTCTAAAAAAGGTATGTGAAATGAACAAATCATTGATTTTGCAGAATTCTATCATGTGTTCTCCAGCATCATTTCTTTCATCAAGGCCATATATTTCAACTATTGATCCTTCTTTTTTACTCCCAACCTTTGCATTCCAGTCACCAGTAATGATTAATACATCTTGATTGCATGTTTGATCAATTTCTTACCAACATAGGGACACTTTAAAGCCAATCAGTTAATTGCTTATGCAGCCACAAAAATTACCTAGGTATTCAATAAAGGTGTTAGACAAATCTGCTGCAAAAGATCTCTTTAAAATATTACAGAACAAAGATGTCCATTTTGAAGACCAAGGTGCACCTGACCCAAGGCCATTGTATTTTCAATTTCCTCATATGCATGTGAAAGTTGGACAATGAATACAAAAGATCGTAGAAGAACTGGTGCATTTGAATTGCTTTGTTGGCAAAGAATACTGAAAGCCAATGGATTACCAGAAGAACAAATTTGTCTTGGAAGAAGTATAGCTAGGATGCTTCTTAGAAGCGAAATGGTGAGACTTCTCCCGTTCTTTGGACATGCGCTTGGTAGGGATCAGCTCCTGGAGAAGAACATCATGGTTGATAAAGGGTAGAGGGTCAATGAAAAAGAGGACGTGTTGACAAAGTGGCATCAACAATCAGTTCAAATGTAACGATTGTGAGGCTGGTGCAGGACTGAACAGTGTTTATTCTATTGTGCATAGGATTGCTCTGAGTCGGCAGAAACTCGACAGCACCTAACAACAACAACATGAGTAAAATTACAAAATAAAACAACTAAAAATCTCTGAAATGGAAGGATTTTGAGGTTAAACTGGTAGGGCAAACATGTTAAAAGAATTATACTCAATAATGGGCATATTTAAGATATTTTAGAAGTAAGTAATTTGAATATATCTCTCATCAGTTTTTTTTTCTTCTCATTTTGTGTTATGGAAAGCAATGAAAAATAGTTCTGTTGTGTTAAAATATTACAAGATGTGTTTGATGAACTCTTAGTAACTATATGCCCAGAATTCCAAGTCCCTTGTCTTGCTGGATCCTGCCATAAGGCTGCTAGGCCAAATGGATGACTTACGGAGTGAATGCAAAACCATCACAAACACAGCACCATACCGAATGTGGGTTAGGTCAAAAGATAATGACTATTATAAACAATTTTCTAGAACAAAGCTAATCTTACCAACTTTACAACATGTAATTTATAGCCTATATTAATTCTAAAATATTGACTATTAACATTGTATTTTCTCCAAAGTCACTGGAAGCAAAGCAACAATGATGTGCACATTATAATAGCTTTAAACTTTGTAGGTGTAGAAAAGTCCTGGGAGAGATTAACTGATGATTATAAATAAATATACTTCTCAGTGATTTTTTTTCTTGTTTTGGTATTATCAGAGAAAAATTTTCATCCTTTTTTTCAAAATGCAGTCATCAACTCCTCATAAAACCTTTTTTAATTTGTGAAATTAAAACCTTTTTTAATTTGTGAAAAAAAAAAAAGGATTTGCCCCAAATCCTTACTGTAATGCATCACGTTTCAAAGAACATTGTCAGCTTTCCAATCTGTGGTGGATGGTTTGCAAACTCACTGAATTTCAAAGTTGAAAGGGCCTTTGGAGGTCCTGTTCAATC